TTAGACCTCGATCCCTCGGCCACCGCCTGGCTCGCGACAGCGTTATTGGCCAATGTCTCTTTCTCGGCCAGGGGGAAGCCCCTCGAAGTCTCGCCAATGGCCTCTGTCATCCCGGCGCCGTCCCGCTCTTCCGGCTCGCGGAACGTTTTTGCGTCATGGCGGTCTTCGATCTTGTCACCCGGGGCTCGCTCTCTCTGCCACACACCTCTGTCCGTGCTCACGACGTGTCCTCCACCGCTTGCTCCTACGCCAGTCAATCTCTCCTCCCCTCGGTTCCGTCCAACATGAATTCGGTCTGTGCGGAATGCCGGCCTTCGCGGCGATCGCTCCAGGGATCGCCCGCGTTCGCGCGATGGTTCTTGCGGTGGCCTTTCCTCCTCACAGCGGCTGAATATCCTACCCCAACGCAGCTCGTACTTGTCCATATCTACTTTCTTACACCTTGTTTGCTGTTATGAACGGGATTGCTCCCTAACCCCAAAGGTTCCCTCTTAGTGGTGTGCCACCGAGTGTTAGAGCTGAAATGACAGCCTTCACTAATCCAAGAGAATAACAGAAAACAAGCTTTGAGTGGGTGAATGTGAGTGAACTTACCTAGCCCTACCCCAGGTTGCACATTTCCTAATGTGCGGCTCAGGGTTGGAATTGCGTCTCAGTGCTCTTCCCCCGCAATCCCAACCGTCCCTTTTCAGTTTCCCCCTCCTTTACCTATTGCAACAGTCACCACACTACATTCCGCGCCCCACGCTTGTGTTGTTGTATATGCATTAAGTGCATATACCCTTATACGCTATGCTACCTCCTACACCTTATACTACTGTTATTGCATATGCATAAAGTGCATATGCGGTGACAACTGCCACATGTTCTTGATGCAGCTGCTCTTCTCCTACAAATTCCACAGCAAATGTCTCCCAAGCTTCGCACGGCAGCTGGTTGGGCCAAAGGTCATTTCAGCTTTTCTCTTCTGCAGCCTGCGCGTAGAGAGGAGGTTAGCATACAATCCCTCAACCAGCAGCACATTCCCATGCCCCACAAGCTCCCCATTAGCTCCCATCCTTTTTGCATCTCCCATGCCAGTCACAGGGAGTAAAGCACCACAAACCTGATATTCTCACGAAGCTTTACCTCATCAAGCAAAGCTGGCCTTGGGGTTATGCGACTCGTGCATCCAGAATCGATCACCCAGTGAGTGAGGGGGTGCATCACAACCTTCTTAACCAAATCCACATCACCCCCACTCTCTTTCACATCCTCAACCATGAAGAACATCCCAGGGGAGGCTTTGTATAGCATATGAGCTTCACTCGCTCGTATATTTCTCGTACTTGGTCCGACTGAAGCGATCCTTGATTCGTCGGAAAGCTGGTAAGAAGAGAAGCCGTTTTAGATATATTCTCAAACAAAAAAAGATTACACACACTCACAAAGTCCAAACAACACCAAACACAAACTCTTGCCCACACGCACACCACGCATGCAACATAGGAACATAGGATGGGAGCCAAACATACGTGAATGCATATGATGGCATCACAGAACAGTAAGGACCTGTTGGGACAAGACCAAGCTGTGTGCAGAGCCGCTAATAATCAGATGGCAGGAGAGCCTTGGCGAAGATATCAAATATTGGCCCATGAGGCCAAGTGTGCTACGCGTGCCTGGCTACGCTACTGCAACTCACGCAGCAGTGAGAACCGCAACTGGATGTGCTTCACCTTGGCCTCTAGTCTAGGCTCCTGACACAAGAGGATCATAGCCCTGTTGACAGGGAACAAGACTAGGGCATAGCTAGGCGGCTCTACCTAAGTCAGTGAGCAAGAATGTAAGTCAGCGGAACTCCTGAGCAGCCATAGCGCCAGCGTAGATCTATGCCTCACAGCTGGATTATGCCATCGACGACGGGCGAGTGGGCAACTATGAGAATGCGCCTACGCAATTATTGAAGTAGTAGCTCTAAGAGGACCTAAGAGTCTTGATGCCGTCTGCCCATGACGCGTCAGCGGGTCACGTGATCACAACTGGTAGTCGTCATCCAAGTATAAGCACCATGCCGGATATGCTAGCCAAATAGCGCAATACCCTCTTAAGTGCCGACTAGTGAGCGTGTCGGTGTCTCCCAGTCGCAACAACGCGAGCAAGGATGCTGAGAGGGTATGCAAGGTCTAGGCCAGTGCAAGGTTTAGGTACATGAGGTACCCAACCAGCTCTGTGTACTGGCTACTAGGCTCAACTGGGTTGTCAGACACATGATACGAGAGCGTGCAGAGGAGGAGTGGGCTGTGCAAAGGAGAACTGGGCCAAAGTACTGGAGGATCTGCTGCACCATGTGTGATTGAGTGAGATTGATGGTGCACGTTGCTCTATTTTTGGTGATATGCAGGCTAAGATAGTGGCGCAGCTCGGTAAGGAGGCGGGGGTAAGGGGAGTAATGGGCCGAAATGTTTTATTGGCACGGAGTAATGCGTGGGTGGGTGGGTGGGTGGGTGGGTGGGTGGGTGAGTGAAAGACTAAGGAAGTTGGGCAATGACTATATTGGACAGCTTCATGTGTCACCTAACCATTTCTGAATTCTGACTTCCATAGAGGAATGTCGACGGCCACTTCGGACACACTTCGTATTGAAGTGTACTAACACAAGCTCCTGCCTCGCCCGTGCCCTCCCGTGTGTGTCCTTCCGCGCCTGCTGCGCGTCCTGCTAGGCCCGCGCTCTCCCACGCGCACCTTGCAACGCCTGCTACGCACCCTACTGCGCCCTGCCGCCTTTGCGTTTGCACCTACCGTACCTGCTCATGGTGCGCTCACGCCAGTCTCGCCCCATGTCGTGCGCTCATGCACCCTGCTGCGCACCTGCTAAATCCTACTGCCACGCGGCTGATGCGCCCTGATGCCGCTCACCTGTGCACCCTACCGCGTGCCCTCTGCACCTGGTGTCACGCGCCCGTGCGCCCTGCTTCACGCCTGCAATGCGTTGCTGCACCCTGCCGCGCCTGCCATGCTTTGGTGCGCTCCCTGCCACACCTACCAACTATACATGCCGCCCTACCCGCCGGCCGCACCTCCCACTGCATCTGCCACGCGCTTGCTGCTGCAGACGCAGTGCCTGCAGCTACTGGCTGCCGCCGTGCCTCTAGGCACACTTTAGGGTTTCGCCCTGCTTGATTGTCTTTGACTGCCCTTTCCTCTGCCTGTGGCCATCCCCTCTCATCTGCTAGAGCTGAGCCCTTGCTCACCTCAGTCATGGCGTCAGAGGGCGTCTTGCGGCTCGGTCGACTGTGACGCGTGGCTGCTAGACGCCACGCTCTATGTGAGAGGATCGAGAGTTCACTTCGAATGTAAATTATGAATCGTGGGTACAACTACGAGACTATGTATGGGCACGATACAAGGCACGTAACCAGGATGTTACTAGTATGTACCGATGCTCTAGAACAAGCGGGAATAGAGCCTTCTTGAATTGGTAAATTCATTTGGTGCAAAGTTACGCGCGCGCAGAGCCAAGCGAGATAATCTGAGATCATTCTTGAAACAGTGCACGCATAACCTATTTAGTGCATATAACCGAAATAGTAAAGTAAATGAAAGGAAAAACTATGTAAAAAAAATAGAAAATATAAAGCAGAGAAAATAGGACAATACTGACGACGTACTCTCACACTCCACCTGTGAAGCCAACGCCAGAATGGCGACACCTTGTACGCCCACACGTCGGGTGAGCTGCCAGCCCCCCAGCGGCAGTGGGGACCTGCTGGCCCAGGGAGCACTGGCTGCGCTTGCAGGTATGACTACTAGGCTTCGCGGGCTCCCCCCACCGGGCCCTGCTAGTACCTAATCTCCTATATGTGGCACCGTCTGCGGGCGCACCGGTCATTCCACTGCCCGCTGCTACCGCTGCCACCACCTCTTCCATGCCCATTTCGTGCCTGCGGCGTTTGTCTTGGACTGGCAACTCTATTGATCAAGAGTTTAATAATATTTGATCTTGATATGGCTCAGATAGGAACGACTATGTATGCCATGTATGACGATGAATATGGTGCTGCCGAATCTTTTTGTTCATGTGTACCTAGATTAGGTTCTCTAGCTACCTCTAGTTTAGGGTCCTCTGCTGTTGCTTGCCTAGTGCGTCCACTGGTGACTCCGGCACGTCCCAATGCTTCTTTCACGACCGTAGCACCCTCTTGCCGCTTCCAGATCCTGTCGTAGTCTCACTGGCTGACCGCTCTTCTAAAAAGGTCATCGCATGTAGAGCTACTTCACTCTCGTGTCCGTCAGTCCCCTCTACCTCCCTCATAGGTCTGCACATCCCCTCGTTCTCCAGGAACTTCGTGGGTGTTAACCTTCTTCAGTACCTCGGTGTCACCACCTCATTTCCTGGACGTAGGCAGTTTGCGACCTGTACGGACGCTACAGCCGGGGCACTTCTTGCCACGTTCCCCCCAAGACCCTGCGTCGGGTATTTTCACGTTGTCGCGTTCCCCCTAGGGCACTAAGTCCACCCAGGTGCCTGCATCTGGTCAGGTGGCTGCGCTGTGCTCGTGTCGGTCGCCCACTCACCCATCGTTCCTGTGGCACCACCGTATTGACCACCCCACCCTCCCGCGTCTCCGTCATATGGCTCAACATGGTCCTATCCAAGGTCTCCCGTCGTCGCTCCTCGATCTCCCTCCCTCATCTTCACCGCCATGCACCCCTTGTATAGAGGGTAGGAAGCATATGGGCCCTCACTCCTCCTCGTTTTATCCCACCACATGGACGTCTGGGGCCTTGTTCCGTCCCTAGGATGCGCCGGGAGTGTTTCTTCCTCGTCGTTGTGGACAACTACTCTTGCTACACCATAGTGTTTCCCCTGGAGGGGAAGGCCGACGTGCTTGACGCTCTTCTCTCGTAGTTAGTAGCCGTCTGCACCCAGCGCGCCCACCCTATGGTTTGTTTGCACTCAGACCATGGTGGTGAGTTTGCCTACGGTCGCCTTAGCAAGTTTTGACGTGCGGAAGGCATCACCCAGGCATCACCCAAGTCGCGGACAAACGCCCGAGATCCCCAGACACGAAAACAGACGCATCGCCAACCTTCCCCATCCACCTTAGAGTAGGGGAGGTCTCCGGCAAGGAGACCCGGGGCTGAAGGTTGAGCTGATGCGCTGCGTACTGAACTGCAAACGGCCACAGAAAATGGGGGGCAGCCGCATGGATCATGGACGTACGAGCGATGTCCATGACCATGCCAATGCGGCGCTCAGCAATCCCATTTTGCTGTGGAGAGGCCGGAAGCGTGAAGGTCTGGCGGATGCCCTGTGAACGACAGAAGGCTCCCAGACGGGCAAAGAAAAACTCCCCGCCTCTGTCAGAGTGCAGACGCAAAACAGGATAGTCCGAGCCGAAACTCTCTCTAAGCTGGAGACGAGCTGCGCGGATCCAGTCGATCAACACCTCAGGGGAACACCGTGGTGTAACGCGAGTAGTCATCAACCACCAACAGGAAGTAACGCTCGTGACCCTGGCCACGGACGCGGGCGGGGCCCCACACGTCTATGTGAAGAGTCTGCAGCGGAGCCTCTGTCGGAGGAAACTCGGAGGAGTGAGGGGCGGCGCGCTATCGCCCCTCGACGCAGGGGACGCAGGTAGGGGCAGGCCCCGGAGGTAGGGGAGGTAGGGACCGGGGAAGACCAGAGACAAGGACACGTGAGGCCATGCCTCGGAGACGAGGCAGGGAGGGGTGACCAAGGCGGTGGTGCCAAAGGAGAGTCTGGTGGGATAGGAGACGACACGAGCAGGGCGCAGACTGAGGACCAGATCTGGACGCTGTAGGAAACACCTGACTCGACACAGCTACCTGACCAGACTCAGCAACCGGAGGAGACTCAATAGTCTGTGTGTGCAGGCTCGACCCGGCCAACGAGTAAACGTGGCCAAGTGTCAGCCCGTCCGAGCACAGGTATAGTGGGTCATCCGCTGACTCGAAGGAGTGAACTGGTCAACCCCCCTATCCTGCAGATCAGCTCCACTCACCAAGTTTGTAGAGAACGAGAGGAGGTGGAGACATGACAGGGTGCCACGGGGGGCTGCCGGGCACGGTAAGACAGTGGAGAAGCTAGCAAGGACAGGATTCCCAGAGGGGTCCGCTAGGGAGACCGCAACCGGCCGACTAAGCGGCGTAAGCGTGGTGCGGTCTCGAAAGAAGGAGCGGGAAGCACCCGAGTCAAGGGTGAAGGTGTGTAAGGCCTGAGCCGACGTGGTACCAGTGAGAGCAGACTCACAAGCACCTGGGGCAGCAGACGCACTAGCACCTAGAGCAGCAGCCTCACCAGCACCTAGAGCAGCAGCCTCAATGCTCAGGTCAGGCGGAACACACACTTAACAGTCACCCTCAACACTATCAGCCACAGCATACATGGCAGCAAGAATAGCATCATAATCAAGATCAAAGATAGCAACCCCCGCCCTAGACAGCTCTTCCCAGTGAGGGATCTCAGTGGCGTCAGGGAACTAGTGACGCCACGCGTTCGTCAGGCGGCCGAAGCAGCGCTGGGTGGAGTGCGGGCCCCTGCACTGCTCACCAGCGTGGTCGCCAGTACGGAGGACGTAGGTGCAGGGACCAGTACCCCCACCGTGCTGACGCGAAGCGTACCACTCACGAAGCTACTGAGGGGACAGGGTCTCACGACTGCGCTTCTGCTGCTCGCGCGGACCACCACCGGACCCACTCCTCTGCGCAGAGCCGCGACCAGCTCCACCGCTGTCGCCGCCGCCTCCGCCACCTCCGCCGCCTCCGCCACCTCCGCCGCCTTCGCCACCTCCGCCGCCTCCGCTCCCTCCGCCACCGCCGCCGCCTCCTCCGCCTCCACTGCTGCCACCAACACCTCCACCCCCGCCACCACTCCCACCTCCACCCCCACCCCCTCCACTGCCTCCACCACCCCCACCAGCCCCTCCAGCGCCCTTGGCCCCCTTGGCCTTGCCAGTGCGGCGTCTCCCGCTAAGGGTAGACGCATCGCCGACCGACTCAAAACCAACGAGGTCGGCCACAGCGGCAGAAGCAACACAGGGCAAGAGGGGGGAAGGGGAACACCCCTCAAAGACGGGGGTGCGAGGGTCACCACAAGAGGCTCCTACAGCGACTATGCTCTTCTCTGCTGCTAGGAGGCGCTCCTCGAGGAGGTCAACGGTGAGTGTGGTGGGGCAAACAGACAAGAAGTGGTCCTTGACTAAGCGAAGGGAGTCAGGGAGCCGGGTGACTATGTAGTAGAGGGTGATATACTTGGGGGGGGGGGGGGGGGTTCTTCGCTCAGATCTCTACAGGAAGCGCAGCGCGGTAGCGAGTGTCGCTAGTGCAAAGGTGCGTAATGAGGTCAGCAAGTGTGGGAAAGGCAGCAAGGTCAGGGACCAGGTACGGTAGCATGAGGCGGCTAAGCGCAGTAGTGGCAGGGGAAGAGTAGCGTGCAACTACAGCCTCGTACAAGGTCTGAGCACTCTTGTACTGGCTAAAGTGCGCACGCTTAGTGGTCGGGAAGTGGCGACGCACAGCGAGACGGGCAGCAGCATCGCGTGTGGCCCACTGTGAGAGAACAGTGCTATCAGCAGTAGAAGGCGGGGCAGGAGAGGCACCAGAGGTGAGATCGAACAGGGAGAGTCCGTGTGCCCTATCGCACTGTAGGAACAGCTGGAGGTCATCGACCTTGACCACAAAGTCAACAGCACGACCCTCACCATCAAAGGTAAGGACACTGGGGGTAGCCATGACTGCAGTGGCCTAGCAGGGAGTGATCTCACCAGTCCGAATAAGTAGGGCCGGGGCGCGCCGATAGGAACAGTAATGGCTTGACGGTAGGACGGCTCGGCGGCTCGGCTGCTGGGCGGGTCGGCGGCTCAGCGGCTCGGCTGCTGGGCGGCTCGGCGGCTCGGCTGTTGGGCGGCTCGGCTGTCGGGCGGCTCGGTGGCTCGGTTGCTGGGCGGCTCGGCGGCTCTGCTGTTGGGCGGCTCAGCTGCTGGGCTGCTCGGCGGTTTGGTGGCTTGGCTGCTCAGCTGCTGGGTGGCTCAGCGGTGAAGGGGCCGGTAGAGGCGGCGACGGGGCCAGTAGAGGTGGCAACGGGGCCGGGAGAGGCGGCGATGGGGCCGCTAGGGGCGGCGGCGGGGCCGCGTAGGGAGGGGAGCGGCGACGGGGCCGGGAGGGGCGGCTACGGGGCCGCATAGGGGCGGCGTCAAGGCCGCGTAGTGGCGGCGACGGGGCCCATAGGGAGGGGAGCGGCGACGTGGCCGCTAGGGGCGGCGACGGGGCCGCGTAGGGGCGGCGACGGGGCCGCGTAGGGGCGGCGACGGGGCCGCTAGGGGCGGCAACGGGGCCGCGTAGGGGCGGCGACGGGGCCGCGTAGGGAGAGAGGCGGCAACGGGGCCGCTAGGGGCGGCGACGGGGCCGCGTAGGGGCGGCGATGGGGCCGCTTAGGGGCGGCGACGGGGCCGCGTAGGGAGAGAGGCGGCAACGGGGCCGCTAGGGGCGGCAACTGGGCTGCTAGGGGCGGCGACGAGGCCGCGTAGGGGCAGCGTCGGGGCCGCTAGGGGCCGTGAGGGGCCTGGAAGGGCGGCAACAAGGCCACTAAGGGTGGCGCGAGGGGCCGTGAGAGGGGCCTCTAAGAGAGTTCGACAGAAGGGCGGCCCACAAGGCGCGCCTCGGGTAGGAGCGACTAACGCTCCGGTCAGAAAAAAAGATTTGAGTGGTGGGCCCAAGGAAGCGTTCCCACTAGGGAACCTGCTCTGATACCATGTGAAGAAATGAGGAATGAATGAACTAGCACAAGATTGGGTACAAGTAGGAAACCCTAGGAAATTGTACTCCATAGTGTCTACCCCACTATAGCCTAGACAAGCTATATGATAAATGTTTGACAGTACTCGCTCTCTGACTCGCCGCAACAGAATGGAGTAGCTGAGCATTGCATTGGCTTGGTCATGAAGATCGTTCGTACGTCCATGGTTCATGTTAGTGCTCCCCATTTTCTATGGCAGTTTGCATTCCGTAATGCCGTGCACCAACTTGACATGTGGCCCCATGTCTCACCTGGGATTTTCACCGAACTTTTTCTGGACTGGGTACCCTGGTGCTGCGCCTGCGTTTCGCGTCTACGGCTGCTTTGCTCACATACGCGACCCTTGCGCAGAAAAGCTCTCAGCCCGCACTCTCCCACGTGTCTTCCTTGGTTCTCCCCTCTACGCCCATGTCTGGCTATTATACCACCCCTCGTCTCACCGTTTCCTCCACTCTCGTGATGTAACATTTGACAAGTCCGTCTCCTTCTACACTTGCTTCCCTCACCGAGTGACCCCAGTACCCCCCCCCCTTGTTACTCAGTCCCACTCCCCCCTTCTCAATCCCACTCCTCTGCTCGTTCCCATGCCCCTGCGCCCTGCCCCGTCTGGTGTAATGCACGTCACCCCCCTTTTCTCTGTTGGGCCGGCGGCGGAGTCTGCAGAATCTCGAGGCCCGGTTCGTGGTGGTACGCCTCATGTGTCGGTGCTTTTGCCGCCTCCCCCCCGTCCATCGCCTTTGCTGCAACCTTTGATGCAGTCCTTGCCGCAGCCGGCGTCGACCTTGCAGTAGAAGCATCAGCCTTTGTCACTGCCGCAGCCGGTCGCTGTGGACTTTGGGGGTGCTGCTGCTGGGCGTGCTAGTTCTTCGGGTGCAACTGGTGGGTGTGCCAGCTCTCGGGATGCTCGTTTTGGGGGTGCTGACACCGTGAGTGCTGGCTCTGGGGGTGCTACTCCACGAGGTGCTAGTATTGAGGTTGCCGCGGGCGCGAGATGTCCGGCACCGCAGCAGCAGCAGCTGCAGTCGTTGACGCAGCAGCAGCAGCAGTCGTTGCCACAGCAACAATCGTTGCCACAGCAACAGCCGGCGCAACAGCCGACGTTGCTACCTGTGTCTGCCCATCAGCTTCTTGGTCTTTCTTACCCCTCGACTGACCGCCCAACTGCTCCCACCTCACCGTCTCTCCTAGTCTACGGTCCCACGTTTCCTCCCCGGGTCTCGTCCCCGGCTCGTCTTCCTCCTCGTTCATAAATGTCTCCTCCTCTGTCTCCAGACCCAACTCCTGACTCTCACCATTAGGTCCGTCATTCCTCTCGTGTCTGTCCCGTGTCTCCCCTTCATGGTATCCACTCTATGCTCCTCCGCTTTCATTCCTCTCGTGTTCTACAAGTCCTCTCGCTGCTTCCTCCGTCGTCCCTTACCGTCTCCTCTGCTTCTTTCCCTGACTTACTTTGTGCCACTCTCCCTACGGTCTTCCGTCTCATTTCCTCCCTCTTTACAGACCCTACTGCTCTTCCTCCGTCTATCTCTACTCTTGTCGGTGACTTTGCCTCCACCCGTAGCCTTGACTACGCCACTCAGCTAGTCCGTGCTCCTACCCGTCCTTCGTTTGTGAGGGGTACTCCTGCCCTTGGCAGCCACGATCTAGAGGACAGGCAATAATATTTGGCTTTCCATGTGGCCGCTGCTCCCCACCTCTGCGCCATGCTATTAGCCCCTGATGATGACCCAGACGCACTTGATATCCAGACCCCTTGAACCTACGCCGAGGCAGTCTCAAGACCTTGGTTATCTTAGTGGATAGCAGCCATGGACGCAGTGATGGCATCTTGGAGGTCCACATGCACCTTAATTGACGCAGTTACCCTTCCCGAGGCGAACTTAGTCGATGGTATGAGGATCTTCAAAGTGAAAAGGACACTTGGCGTTCAAGGCGCTCTACGTGGCTAGAGGCTTCAGTCAGTGACAGGGGGTAGAATTCTTTCAGACATTCTCCCCCACCCCAAAGGTGACCTCTATTCGGGTATTGATGCACATCGTAGTGCAACGCAACTACGAGTTTCACTCTCTTGACCTCTCAATTGCCTTCCTCCAGGGCAGCCTGCACAAGCAAATCTTCCTCCGTCATCGACCTAACTTCACTCGATCCTTCTCTTCTGGGAACCAGTGGAGCCTTTGATGGCCCATCTACAGTCTACGCCAAGTGCCTCGTGAGTGGCACGACACGCGCCGCACTACTCTGGCAAACCTCTGCTTCTTCCCGTCCTCTGCTGACCGTTCTCTCTTTGTTCGCTCTAACTCGACTCCTTTCTACGTCCTCATCTACATCGACGACCTTATCTCCGCTACTCCAGACAAAGTCGCACTGACCTCAGTGAAGACCAAGCTGCTGAGGAGACTCATATGCGCCGACCTAGAGAATATGCGCCGCTATTTTGGCCTACAGATTGCTAAGGACAGAGCAGATGGGCGGAAGATCCCCAAGCACTTCGGCCTTCAATTCTCCTATACACATCCTACTTCTCTGCCTGATGGTCACACACTATCGGCCCCTGTTTTTGACAAGCCTGTTGTGCCCAGTGGTCAGTACGTATAGCTGGTAGGGTGCCGCATATACCTGATGACTTGCACTCGCCCGGACCTTGCATATCCTCTCAGGCTCCTTGCTCGCTTTGTTGCGACTGGGTTTAGGGTTTGCGATATCTGGCTTGTACGTCAGGCATGTGGCTTGTGCTACGAGGACGACAGCCAGTTGCACTCACGGGCCACACTGACGCATCGTGGGCAGACAACATCGAGACTCTCAGGTCCTTTCAGGGCCACGGCTTCAAGAGCTGTCTTGTGGAGGCCCACTCGCTCATCGTCGGTGGCACAGTCGAGCTGTGAGGAAGAGATCTACGCTGGTGCTATGGCATCACAAGAGCTTTGCTGGCTGATTTTCTTGCTCTCTGGCTTAAGTAAGCTGCCTAGCTCTGCCCTAGTCCTGTTTGCTAACAACAGAGCCATGATCCTCCAGTGTAAGAAGCCTCGACCAGAGGGCGAAGCGAAGCACATCTAGCGCGACCGGGACCAACGCCGCCGATATCTTCACCAACGGGACCCCGCCTCGTAATAACTAGGGGCTCTGCGCACAGCTTGGCCTTGTCCCTGCAAGTCCTCACTTGTTGGTATCTTAATCCATGTACTTTTTATTTTAGTTGACATTGTCTGCTTGTACTCGTAGACTCGCCTTGTGGCCATTTAAGTCAGAGACTGGGCTAGTAGGACCGCCAAGACTCAGACACTGAGTTGTACCTCATACACCATGTTATTCGTGTTGAGTGACCCTGTGCCCTCTTACCTCAGAGGCTGGATTAGTACTGCCACCCTGAGTTGTTTCTCACCTTCTTGGTACTGCCTATAGTAGTAAAGTATAGATTACATTGGTGGTGAACCTTCCTTGTTCTAGAGTATTTGGCGCTCCATATTGAAACCCTCTTATTCCATCTCTCTAGTCTCGACACCTCTCTCCGCACTCACGTTACTCTAGCTGTGGCTCCTAGCATTAGCTCCCAATTTGACATGTGATCAGAGCCACTCGCTCTCCGAGCTTAAGTATTTTTATTTTCTCTCTATCATGGCGAGTGCCTTGCTTGCCCGTCGTGCCACGTTCGCCTCGTCGCACACTCGCTGGCAATTTTGCAACATTTAGGCTTATTTGCGTGACGGTCGCCAAGGTCGTGACGACCAATGTGGTGGTCATCGCGGCCTTGTGTCATCGTTGCCAGCAGCGCCAGCCGCGATGACCAGCGCGTTGGTCTTCGTGGCTCGCCTCGTCGCTGCCAACGGCGCCAGCGACAGCCGCTATCGCTAGCGCCTATGCCAGCGCCAACTGCTGCTCGCCAATGCCAACGCAAGCGACGTCGCTAGCGCCCCCGCCAATGCCACCCTGCTCCCCG